AAAATGTAATAAGTTTGATAATTCAAATTGACAAACTATTACGAACAATACGAAACAAAAGAAGGACTTATATCAAAGAAATTATGATAATGCAGTCTATAGAAACTTGTCACCCTCCCTGACTGCATTCCTTCTCCGACAACTCGATAAAGAAATCCATTACCTTCTTCTGGTACTCCTCCACCTTGTCGTCATCATCGTACTTTCCGATCGCGAGGTAAATTTTTTAGTGATTGTAGAATTGATCTGTTTAATTGATAGAATAAAAATGACTCGGGTTGCTACAATGAAGTTGATTGATACCTCAAAAAGTCCTTGAAAAATAAGGATGAAATCTGAACATCCACTGTGTTTGGAACAATAAATCACAGCAAAAAGAAAACGAGAGATGAGTTCGTATGAAGCAACAAAATATAACACTAAATAAAAATTTGCCTCAGAGGACCATCTCTACATTACAATATGAGCAATTTTACCAACCCGGATAATGTAACTGAAAATAGTATAGTTCACAGAGAGCCTGGAATAGGAAGATGGTTCAAATGAAAAATTACTTTTTTTTTGTTGATATAGTACTGAAACTAGTTATACACATCAAAATTTTGCTGCACTACTCCAAGGCATCAACACTCTTTTTGCCATGCATAAAACATTCTCTCAACCTCCAATCCACAACGAAGAGTCGCCCCCTCTCGAAATAGCATATCATATAGAAGGCAAACAAACCAAGAGAGATCCTCTTCATCATCATCTTTCCAATCCATTGAGTAATCGGTTCCCTTTTCCGCATCACTGCCCTCCCAACCTCTCATTGGGCTTGTCACCCCAGTATCTGACTCTGGTTCTCGCTCTGACTCTTAGCTCTTCGTCATCAACTTCGTCATCTCCAATGATGAATTTTTCTTCGTCAGAGGTATTGTATTCACCCATAATACTGTAGGCAGTAAAAATTGCCTGTAGATTGCAAAAAAGCTCAAAACTGACAAAAAACGCTGATATCTCTCAAACCGGAGGAAATTTGACAAAACGGACGGCGGCAAACCAAACTTCGGTTGGTTTGGTCGGCCCCATCTCAAAAAAATACGCGATTTTCATATAAATACCCCCTGGCATCCTTATGGACGAGGGTTGGACGGGAATCGGGAGATCTAATCTTTTGGCGAAGTGCTGACGAATTCTAGAGCAGAGAACCACGAATTTCAGAGAGAGAGAGATGGGAGATCTTGGCGAATTCTTCAGGATAGAGAAGAAGATTTCGAGATTTCGAGAGATGCGCAGGCCTTCATCCTTTTCCTTAAGATCAAACCGTTGTTTTGATCTTGAGAAGAGTAATAATCTCACCTTGCTGAGGTTATTTACCTATGTTCTAAGTTTCCTCGTTGAAACAAAGAACACTGAGCCTTCTTCACGATCAATCAGATCTGTGAATCGGTGGTCCACAGGTTAACGCTTCCTCGGCACAGACAAAGATGCCATGTAAGCAGCGAACGATAAACGATCTATGCGCGTGTTTCTAAGAGATATTTTTTTGTTTCCGTTGTAACGAGAAATCTTATAAAAAGATTAACTCTTTTGAATCTGTATAAACGATAAACGTTGTAATAGGTTCAACAAGGAAATTGATTTCGCGACCACGAGCTGCGACTGGAGCAGGATGGCGACCTGGTCATCATCGTCGTAGCCGGACCAGTCGAGGTCGATATGAAACCCTAGATCGCTAGGGTTTGAAGGGGACGAGGGAGCGCAGAGGAGGTGGGGCGCCAGAATTGGGATAGCCGGCGTCGTGGCGGGCGCTGTAATCGAGGGAGAGGTGGAAGATCTCCAACCATGGATCTAGGATTAGGGTTTGAATGGGATTTTTATGGCTATGGCGGGAGAGAGGGAGGCTCAGTTCGTTTCCCTTCTTTTTTTTTGGACAAACTGCGGATAAGCCCCTCAAATAACATTTATCAGCTCTTAGTTCATTTGTTAGCATGAGATGTAGAATTATAATAATCTCGTTACCCTCATAGAAATATGAATGAAGATTTTTATGGATGTAGAAACATAGGAAAAGAAGAAGACATGGAAAAAGAGTAGAATAATTAATAATGAAAGAGATAAAAAAAAGTTACCATTCTAATTAAAGTGAACATTGTTACAAAGTAACAAAGTATAGAAGATTTGTGCTTTTACATCCTTTAGGAGTAACAAAGTAACAAAGTATAGTAGAACAATTAGTAATTAAGAAGTCATCTGCCACAACGCTGTCACCTTTCATCCTTTTAGGAGTTTTGATCGATTCTCCTTTCTGGCTTTCTCTAATTACATCTCTGATCGACCTAACATTCTTCTTAGACGAGTTTCCTGTCCAGAATATGATGAAGTGTGTCACGTTAGATGTAATCTTTATAGCAGGGACATAAATCTGATTAAAAATGCAATTGCTTCTTGCCCTCCATATGCACCAACATACAGCTAGCTGTACCACTAACCATAAACTGCGCGTTAGGGTTTGATAAAAAAACATTTCAATGAGAACCGATAATTTGCTAACTTAAAAAAAATGTTTGATTAAATAATTGCATGTAATTTTAACGAAAGAAAAAGGTAAGATATATCGAGAGTAAATGATCCATGTAAACTAGAAATAGTTTATTTGGTTAGTAGGAAACTAGAAATAGTTGTTAGTATTGTTTGGTTATTTCTAAGTGCTCCTGAGAATTGTTTGTTAATCTGACTTGGCAAATTTACCACAATTTTGTTTAAGGGTGGCACTAGGAGCACACCACCAACCACAACCTCAACCACACCCCCTCTCTCATTTGCTACAGTACATCGGGTCTCACATGAGATTTTAAAATTTAAAATCCTATGTGGGGTCTGGTGCACTGTAACAAATAAGAGAGAGAATGTGGTTGAGGTTGGGGTTAGGGGTTCCTTTGTTCAACGCAAACCATTATACGCATGTTACGCTTTTCTTAGGATTCTAGCGGGCAAACTGCTCCGTGAACTTATCCAACACGTGTTTGACGTGTTGCGTGGTAGTAGACATTGAAATCTGATGTGATAGATAGCGCTCTATTTGTTCATCTTAATTATGGCAAGAATTGAGGACCTACCTGACTACCTCCATACCTCAACCAAAGTATTTTATGAGCACTTACCAATTTCTCAACATAATCTACATATTTGTTTATATTGAGGGGTTATTGGTTGGGACAAATTGGGGCCAAGTGGAAAAATTATTCTAATGGAACAATTTTGCCCCTTTGGGATATTTTGAGTGGAGTAAAGTGGGATAAACTGGGATAATGGGATAATTTGAGCTTTTGATTTGACAATTCATGTGGGATAATAGATGATGTGGCACCTTATTAAAATATAATTTTATCTATTAATTACTTCTAAATTAACATATCCAATTGGTTTAGTATATTATTTAGTATATTATTATAATATAAATATTATTTTACTTTATATTAAAATATAATATATTGTACTATACTTACAAATTATTATTATTAATTATTATATTGTATTATATTATATTATATTAGCATGCTATACTATATATAATAATTAATATAATATAATATCAATATATTTAATATAATATTTTAATAATATAATATTTAATATAATACATTATTTTATTTATACAAAAATATAATATGTTATACAATAATTACTAATTAACATTATATTAGTATGCTACATTATATAATAATTAATATAATATATGAATAATATATTTAATATAATATTTTAATAATATATTATTTAATTTAATATATTATAATATAGTATCATAGGATATAATGTACTTTATAAAATATTATAATATTTTACTTTATTCAATGTAATATTTTAAAATTTTATATTAAAATTAAAATATAATATAACATATATATATTACATGATAATTACAATAATATATATTAAAAGGTATCATGTTATAGTATAATATATTACATAATAGTATGTTATTACAATATTATATAATATTATAATAAATAACGTTATACTATAATTACTATTATATAATATTATTAATATATGTTATTAAATTATGTCATTAAAATATTAATATATGTTATATTTTATATATCATGTCATATATTTATAATATAATAATTGCATGTATTAGTTAAGTAATACAAAAATATTTTAAAATTATCCCAATTGCCTTCAAAGTGGAACAACATTGTTCCAATATGAAGGATGGGGTAAATTTTTACTATTGGGACAAAATTTTTGTATAAGAGTGGGGTAATTTTATCCCAAGTGGTGTAATTGTCTCACTAGTGTTCCAAAAAACCAATAACACAAAAATGTATTATCCTTGTTCCATTGTCCCAATGAATAACACTATGAAATAGAATCCCCAAAATTATCCCATTATCCTCCAAAATATCCCAACCAATAACCCCCTGAGCTTATATTTTCTGAGGCGCCTGATTCGTGCACAATATAATAACAAGTATATGAGAATGTATGGAGCGAAATATACTATATATACATGGTTGGTTGATCTGAATACCATATATCCGTAATTGGTGATACTTAAAAGGGGATCCGTCCTTAACAGTAGAAGTAGAGGGTATCTGCCCGCAACGATAGAACTGCAAGGGGGAGTCCGCCGCAATTAACCCAACAAACCAACGTATATAGAGGCAAAGCAACAAAGTACAAACAAGGTTTCTTCGGGGACAGATTTTCAATTTCGACCCGTTTAGAACATTTATTGCACAAATCCACACATTTTGTACTTATTTTTCAAATTCGACCCAGTTTAAGCCACGTGGCTGAAACTGGGTTGAATTTGGAAAAAAAACTTACAAACTTCACAGGACTTCCAAGTCCAGTAAAGTTTTGTTACATAATAAAACTTCACGGGTCGTAAGTTTTTTTTTTTCAAATTCGATCCAGTTTCAACCAGGTGGCTGAAACTGGGTTGAAAATGAAAATTTGTCCCGTCTTCGGAGACGATGCGGGCAATAGATAGAAACAGACGAGGATATTGCCGACGGTTAAAATGATTATTTGACACCATTATGAAGAGATTTCAAATTGCTACGTACATGAAGCCCACAAACAAATCAATATATGCCAACAACCAACCGACTGATCGAACAACGAAGAACCTCAATTTCAACCAACCGATCAATCATTTTTCATCCATCGTCCAATTTGCCTTCTCCTTGGGCCCAGTAGGCCCCTCCTCCCCGAGAATTTCGCTAGGCAAACCCCTCACGAAATCCTCCAGCGCCCTCCTCAGCTTCTTAGGCAAAAACCTCTCCACGTCCTTGAGCTCGTTCGCTATATCATAACTCACCTTTGGGCCCCACTCCCTCATGTAATTCAACCACGGCGGCTCCTCCACACCGCCGGTGACAGGTAACCCGGCGCCGCCACCTCGAAGGCCGTCTCGGTGTCCATGTGTCCTTCCCTATTTACGCGGGCATGCTTTCTTATTCCGATCCGTTACTCCGTTCAAGTATAGCCCCGCCCTGGGGTAAACGGCGTGCCCGTGCAGCGAAGTAGTACGAAACCGCGAACTTGTTTCGGAGCGTCGCATATTCCAACGCGGCTCGCGTTCGACCCAGCGTCCCCTGAACTGTGTCCCGAAAAATACACCGGCCCGCATTAGTCTGGGCAACGTCGTAGTTGCTTACTGCAGCGTGACGATGATCCGCAATCCCCAACGTGCTCTGCCGATCCACCCTTAGCTTGATGCGAACACCCGCGACCTTGGCCCTCGCGGGGCCGTTGAAGGGGTAGTAGACGCACGTCGGATGTCGGTGAACGTCGCGGCCGAGCGTTGGCTTGACAGTGAAGGTACGCCTGTGGCTTCGATACGTCGCCTTTCTTGATTAGCTCCTTCTGGCCGTCGTCGGCGGGAGTCCAGCCAGTATTGCCGCGTCGTTTGAGCCGCCTGAGGGAGGTTCGAGCCGTTCGGACCGATCGGCGAGGGTTGGGGTCTGCCCCTTTCGGTAAGGAGGCCGCCGTTTCGAAGAAAGCCAGGATGTTGAGGAAGGGAGGTATGTTTCGTCGGGATGGAAGTATATCACCGGAGAATAGGCTTGGAACAGCGCTTGAATTTGGTGAAGGTTCGGCATCGAGGAGAAGGTCGACGAGCTCTTGTTCCTCAAACATGATAATATTACCGAAATATTATTCGAACTCCCTTCGGTTTGAGCGCCAAATGTGCCCACCAAAACACCGAGGGACGTTGTGCTTACGGTACTCGGCTTAAGGCCGTAGACGCTGAAGCCATCCTCGGCGTAAGACCAAATCGGTTGGTTATCACTTTCGCATTGCTCGGTAAAATCGTCGCGCACGCATCGGAAACCGTCGATGGGTGGCTTATCGGGCGTGCTCGTTGCTCGGTAAAATCGTCGCGCACGCATCGGAAACCGTCGATGGGTGGCTTATCGGGCGTGCTCGTGACGATAAACCCGACCGCTTTGTATCCGTCGGGGGCAACGGGGAGCCAAAAGTACCCGTCGCCGTCCCGCTTGATGCTCGAGGAATCGCTCCGCCAAACCAGGCTAAAATCGGTAGGTTTGGCGAGGGGGTTCGACGCGTCGCAGGCGCCTTTCGCGACGAGGATCCGACCGAAGAGGGGCTTGTTGTTAGGTTGGCGTAAGGAGCCGCAGCCGTGTAGAACGAAGGAGGTAGGCGTGAGGGGTTGTAGAACGTCGCGCCGAGATTATCTTGGCCGCCTTCGTGTGCTGCCCAAACTTTGGTGAACGTTGAGATTTGGCACACTTCCAGGCCTCCGAGGTCTATAGTCCCCTTGGCGAACCCTCCACCTGAAGAAATACATCAAGAAATATTAGAAAGTAGCAATTGAACATATATGCACGAGGGATGCGTCAGTAATTAATTAATAACACTAGAAACTAAAAGAAATAAGAAAAAAAAATTAATCTAGCAAATTGATCATCGATCACCTCGTGGCCAAGATGGCAATGGAGACGGGAACTCAAAGGTTGTCTCTATAGGATCAGGATCAAGTGCTTTGCTTCTCTTCCATGGTGTGAGGAAAAGTTCCCCATTTGCTTTGAAAATTAGAGGTGGGGGGGGGGGGGGGGGTTCTAAGTTGAATGTGAAGTATTTAAGAAAAGAATAGGGACTAATATAAGCATCAGGGTGCAAGTATATTCTAATATGAGGTCGTTATCTAATTAAAACTTAGTTAACTCAGCCCATGAGAAAAGAGTGGACATCAATAATTGAGAGGGGCATGTATTTTTTTTGTTTGTTTGTTTCGGTAAGAAAATTTTTGTTATAACGTGCAAGGAATCTTGATCTAAGGTAGTTGGGAACTTGGCTTAAATTGACCTTCAAAGGCTTTGGAGGGTGTCCTAAAAGGCAAGATTGATGCAGGAGATATATGTTGACGTTTTTATGGAGTGTTCATAATATAAAAGTCTTTGAGCAAATGCTCTAATTATGGAGGGTAGATGACGAAAAGATATGTGAAGTTATTGTTTTCCTATGTACATATTCGTAATCTATTCCACCATAATAACAGGAGGACGCAAGAATCACTATTCATGCTACAATAAATGCTACAGTAATTTAAGTTTTTTCAAAATATATACGGTAGCATTATCAAAAAATATTGTCGTAATTTAAAATATATTAGTGTAGCAGAAAGTGGGATAATGTAGCATTTTAAACGAATGTTACTGTAGCATTTAAAAAACACTGCTTTAACGTTTAAAAATATGCTATAACAATTAAAAATAGGATTACTAAAGAAAAAAAAAAAAAAAAAAAAGGGAAGACCGTGTTTCGCACGTGGCGCACACTAGTTTAGGCAATGTTAGAAATTAGCATTATGCTTCACTAATTAAGAACCATACAAAGATGCCAAAAAAAGACTAGTAAACTAGAACGGAAAGAGTACAGAGAAAGAAGATTGCATGCAGTCCATTCTCTAGTACTTCCTCCTTGAGCAAGCTTGATCAAGAATTGACCACAAGTAATGGAGGTTTCTGATTGAGAGCATGAAAGCTAATGAAAATTGCAGGAGACCGAAACTTTTGCTTCGTTTTGATTTGCACTTGTTTTCTTGATGATTATATGAATATGGACTAAAAGAACGCATTCAGAAGTAGCCATATCTAGATATCTGTTGGAGAATTTCACTTTCCCCGCATACTACAATATGCGCAACTCCGAAGCCAACCCACAATCAACAATATATAAAACGACCACAATCAAGAAATAAAATCACACAAGATTTAACATGAAAAACCCTCAACAGGGAAAAACCACGGGATCAAAATCAATCCACTATCACCTCCAAATTACAATCTTTTGCACAAACAAAGACTGTCAAACCCCCTCTCTCTCTTTCTCTCTACACTTCTTCTTCTTAGTTTTTCCTCTAACAATAGGACATATACAGGGAAACCAAAACATTATCTCTGGCCTAACTTCCTAATTAGAATAAGATTCAAACTCATAATCATGATGAAACCCAAACTCCTAATCATGATAGATCTCTAACCCTATCTAATTCTCATGAAGTTCTACAAAAAATTAAAAAACACTATACTAACTTGGAGTTTGAGTTGATACCCCACAATATCGTTATCCAAATAAAAGTTACATGCGTCAGTACAGAATAATGTTGCATCTAGTCATAACTGACGTAGACAAGCGCTAGGCTAAAGCATATATTTCATATTTTTGGTCCCATTCAGACTTCAAAAGTTACAGGAGCAAGAATTGTATATAATCACATGATTCACATACAAAAGTCATCTTAAAAAAACATTGACCATCTCATATCTACAGAAACACTATATTCCTGTAGTAGCTCCGCCAACCTTCTTTTGTTTTGATAACATGTTTAGAACCTTGAACTCTGTAAACAAAGAGAAAACTATATGTACATGGGATTAAATAATAGCTTCAACCACTTTGTTCAACAAAACAGGAGTCAAATAAGAGGAAGTAGCTCAGGTTTAAGAATCCAAAAGTTATACCAGCAATAATTTTAAAAATCACATGATTCACATCAGCATCATATTCAAAAATACATGATTAGCTAATACGTCCTTGGACGGTATATATTATTGCTGCATTAGCTCACCAACCTTCTATTGTTTTCTTTTAACGTTATTATACAACTTTGAACTCTATAAACAAAGATAAAACTTTATTTATATCATCTAAATAGTGGTTAATTGCGCATAGACCCCCTGTAGTGTAGTATGTAGTTTTCGAACTCAATACTCCTGAAGTTTCATCTTGACATGTAGACACCTTGAGTGAAAACTTGAACTCTTTTACCCTGAAAGTAAAAAAAGACAATTTCGCTCAGGCAAGGAACAGGGTAACAAGGGTAAAATAGTCAAAAAAAATCACTGAGGGGTCTGAATGTCAGAAACAGGTAACCCGTAATTTCTCTATGCAAAACTCTTATAAGATCGAAGAATATTACAAATTGTGTGTTGAAAGTGATTTCCATATATTAACAAAAGCACACAGTTCTGTCAGTTGCAACTCTGGGAAAGCGAAAGGATAATAATAAAAGTTGATTTCGTGTGGATTTGTTAGATGGGTCTCCTTATTGCTTCATATTTGAAGCGTACACAACATGTATATGATATATCCCACGAAAACATGTACCTGCATTTATTGGCACATGTTCTTCATGTGGGGAAATGAGATATGAAATTCACAAAGTAATGAAGATTATTGAAATGCATTTGTTTACTGCAGCAAAAAAAACACCAGAGGAAGTTTATTATTGTACAGTTTTAGAATTTCATTTGCCGTAGCTTGCGTAGGCTCATTAGTTAAGTTTAGAATTCATTTGTCGAAGCTTATTATGAAATTCACAAAGTTATGAAGACTATGGAAATGTATTTGTTTGCTGCGGCAGAAAAATACCCACCAAAGGAAGTTCATAAGTGTACAGTTTTAGAATTCATTTGTCGAACCTTGTGTAAACTTTGGAATAAGGACCCTATAACAACCACCTCTACATGAATTGGTTTTTTCTTTTCTTTTCTTTTCTTTTCTTCTTTTTTTTTTGTTTTTTTTTTTTTTTTTTTGGGGGGGGGGGGGGGGGGGGGGGGGAGGGGACCTAAAATTCGCAAACTAATAGTCCCACACGTGAATGATATAGTCACCCCATTCCATTCTATAGGGATATTCTGATAGAATCCGCGCCCTAAACTCAGAGTTAGACTCCAGTTGGATATAATAGCTATCTGGGAGTTGGCTTAGTTCTTCTACTCAAACAAGACAAATATTCTAAAATTCAATGTACATCCGCTAGTTTTCAACCAATAAATCAATGTTGCTATTGGGCATTTGATTAATTTGACCAACTTCTTTTAGAACTAGATGACGGAACTAGTAAATGCACAATCTTGTAAACGAAGTTGTAAAGCTTTGAATACAATGCCACCTCATATATTTCTCAAAAACAAAACAAAGAAAGAAGAGAAAATCACCACCTCATGTGAAAGAGCTTTAACTCGCCTTTAGATGAACATGAAAAGTATACATCTCTCATATGACCAAGGATTATCAGAAGGCAAAATAATAAATCATTCCAAAATGACAATGATTGACTTGTTATCCATGTAAGAATCTTGGATTTAAATATCTACGATGTCTCGAGAAAGTGAAATCTAGTTATTAACAAAGGAGAGCAGAGCTAAAAGAGGTACTTCCGATCATCTTTATGTTAAAAGACCTATCATTTCTTCACTGTGGCGCTTAACGAATGTTTCAATAAGAGGGTTCACAAGATGAGGTGCCTCATCCTGTAAAAACCAACATAAAATGGATTAGAATGGAAGAAAGAGAGCAATAAATACGATCAGCATAAAAAACTAAGGACAAATTTTCAAAACCAACCTTTTTCAGTTTTTATTTGTAAAAACCGACCGCTTTTGAAAATAATTACAAAAACCGACCTGTTTTCAGCCCAGCGCTGAAAACAGGTCGGTTTTTGTAAAAAGTTTTCCGAAACATCACGGGAGTTCAACTCCCGTGAAGTTTATCGAGAAATTAAACTTCACGGGAGTTGAACTCCCGTGAAGTTTAATTTCTTCTTAAAACTCCACGGGAGTTCAACTCCCGTGGAATTTGCGTTCAATTTCAAAACTCTTAATGCTGTGACCTGAGCTTGAAGGAACCAAGGTTATATTTGAGGCCCCTAAATAAAAAATAAAATAAAAAAGGAGCTCCTTTCACCCCCAACTAACCGCCATCAACGAAAAGGCCCAGATTTCTCTCGATGCCAAAATCTCTTTTTCACCGCATTAAAACCAGTTTATGCAAGTAGGAGACAACTCAACTCAACTGAGCATGCAGGGAGCTCACCAAGAAGATCTGCGAGGAGACAAGAACGAAGAATAGGGTTCTTGACGGCGTAGCTGGGACCGCGGATCGTGTTGTGAGAACTCCTCAGCACTTTTTTGAGTTGGGGTTTTGTGATTTGGGGGTGAAAGGAGCTCCTTTTTTATTTTATTTTTTATTTAGAGGCCTCAAATATAACCTTGGTTCCCTCAAGCTCAGGTCACAGCATTAAGAGTTTTGAAATTGAACGCAAATTCCACGGGAGTTGAACTCCCGTGGAGTTTTAAGAAGAAATTAAACTTCACGGGAGTTCAACTCCCGTGAAGTTTAATTTCTCGATAAACTTCACGGGAGTTGAACTCCCGTGATGTTTCAGAAAACTTTTTACAAAAACCGACCTGTTTTCAGCGCACTGTTTTCAGCGCTGGGCTGAAAACAGGTCGGTTTTTGTAATTATTTTCAAAAGCGGTCGGTTTTTACAAATAAAAACTGAAAAAGGTTGGTTTCGAAAATTTGTCCAAAAAACTAAACTAAAAGGATATCAGCAGAACCTGTGGACAATGTCCAACATTTGGAAGGATCACAAAATCTTCAACTGCGTCAAATTTTGCATAGGCTTTTCCAAGTTCAACAGGCTCCCATGGGTCCTTATCTCCCCAAGCAACCAAAACCGGGCACTAAATTAAGAAAATCATGGGTAAATAAATAAAGTTGAGAAGCAGAAGAATAAATACTTGGCATCAACGGTAGAATCTCTCCTGACCTTTACTTTTGGAAGTAGTTCTTCAGGAAGCGGCCCATCTGAGTAGCAAATGAATTCAAGAAACACATCAGCAGCACCAGGATCAAGTCCCGGTTTAAGGATAATTTGAACTAGTTCATCGGTAACCGCTGAAGTGTCATGATAGCACTGCAAGTAAAAAAGGGGGGGAAAAAGAAGATAAATTACTATGTGCTTGGTAACTTACAGTAAGATTCATATTTAAGCACATTGTCAAATTTAGAGTGAATTTCACTCACCCAACCCCCCCCCCCCCCCCCCACCCCGACTTATAGGCGGTTTTTGCACAAAAACCTCTGACTACTGTTGTAAATTACGGTGGACCCTCTTGAACATGTCTTACATATGTATCAGTTTAGTACCGGCTTAGTATGGTTTGGAAATTTTGGGGTGTTTTATATGGTATATAAAGTTCAGGGGAGTTTGTGCAAAACCCTGCAAAATTCGGGGGCGCTTTGTGAAATTTACTTTTAAATCTGCCTATGATTTTGTAGAAAAGAGCACCTGACAAAGAATGCTTTTAATGGACTCTGGGGTGGCAACTGCTTTGAAGAAAAGCCTTCCCACAATAGTATTCCTGTTGTAATGTAAATTCCTGGCTTAATTTTGACTATATTATAGTCCGGTATGACAATGTACAAGCTAGAGCATTACATATAATTTACCGTAACAATCTCTGGAATGATTTAATAAACGGCCTTCCATACCAGGGTTGTTTCTTAATATGAAGCATCCTTAAGGAAATGTTTAACAGTAGTATACCCTTACAAATCTGAGGCTCCATTATAGCCGCTTGAAGACCGACGACACCTGGAAGCAAGAACATATTTATACAGATGTATCTTTTTGTACCATTGTGGATTGCTAGTTAATAAATACATATATTTTTAATGAAAAATTGAATTCTGAAAATGTGAATATTTGGGCAAAAAGTAATATTCTCATATGGTTACCTGCTTATTACTGTCTAGATAAATCAGAAGGCAGCATAAAATTTCACATTATACTCTGCAGTTTACTCGCTATGATCAACATATTCATACTGGTCATGAAAAGAGATGAAACTTACCTCCAATAGAGTTGCATATGAAGAACGCTTCATCTTTGACAACATCAGCACAGAAATCATTTAGCTGGCTTGCCCATGTCTCAAATGTATAGAAGGAATTCACTTTGAACTCCCGAGGATTTGGTTTGTCAGAATACCCATAACCGATAAGGTCAATTGAATAAACTCTACTTGTCTTTGCGAGATAAGAAATGTTTTTCCGCCAGTGATCACTGTTGAAAGAGACTTTTGCATTATAGATAGCATTGGAGTATATGATAAGAAAAATATAAGAAAATCACATGATAAAACTGAGAAAAATAAATTCACAGATTGCAAATAAATTCAACTCTTGTAAAAGATATGAAAACTACTCAAAAGTTACAAAAGAATTCAGTTCCATAAAACATTACGAGCCTTCGATATGCTCACTCCAAAGCGAGAATCCTAGGGCCTCATAAAAATGAGTTCAAAATAGTAGGGGAAAGAACAGACATCTCAAAAAGCCAAACTAGGTTATTTATGTATTGCCACCACAAATCTAATGGTCATTTGAAATACAGAGAGCATTAATGGACACATTAGAAGGTAGAAAAAAAATCATATGCACAATGCAATACAATCACCAGACGGGGATAATCATGCCAATGAAAGAGGACAGAAACAGATGGGTAAACCAAGAGTGACATGAACAATAATACAACTTTGTTAAAGGAATATAATACTATGTATTTGACATAGAAAGCAAACAATTTGAATATTAGTACCTAAACAAAATTATTTTCCTTCAAAAGGAGCAAAAATGTGTACGGCGTAGACCTGTTCGCCCCGAATCCATGTATTAAAACTAATGCAGGTCCGTCCTTCCCAGCATATTGATAACGAATGCGGTAACCTCGCCAATTCCACATGCTGCATTGAGAAAATAGAATCATCAAAAAGAACTTGTAATTTGTAATTTTTTTAGTGAAACGCTGAATGAAATTTTTTTTGAGTGTAAATCTTATTGCACTTTCACAATAAAAACTTGTTCATTGGATCCTGATAGGCGCGTATTGATCTTCACAATAACAAGTTTTCCCATGGAATAGTTCCCTAATTCCTTAAACTTCATCTCTCGAAGAGGTTGAAGTTTCCATCCTGCAACTTTCATCTCATCCTCTTTGATAGGTTACAGGACTCAAAGCATCAAAGTCTTAGGCTAATGACAACAGTTCTTTCTCCTTTCCAATCTTTAACGTCAGAAGGTGTCATCAGGATAGATTGAGGATTAAGATGTACTTACCAGAGCTCGAAATTTCAAACATTTAAAACACACAAATATGTTTCCAGTTTCCTTCTAACCAATATTTGGACGGCCTCGTATGATTTTTTGTCACTTTTTAGAGAATGTCTGATTTGTCGTCCAGTTTTTCTTCATGTTCTTCCTTAATTTTGGTAAAGTTTAAGAATTTTTCTACCCTATATCAATTTTATTTGAATTTGATACTAAATTATCTTAATCACACTCCGCAAAAAGCTATTATAACCTCGTCCCTTTTTGGGCAAGAACTAAACACTCCACAGTCCACATGCATGAAAATAATTCAAACCACAAACTCCAAAATGCTAGAATCGCCAAATAAATAAGAAAATGTGAGAACTTTCAAATACCCAGTTCGAACTTCAGGCTCCGAGGCGCTATCCACCGCGAAAGGAGCAGAGTCCCGCTTCTCTTCGCTTGAATCCAATGCCGAAGCCTTCGAACAGCAAATTGATCGATACCCATTAGAGGAAACACGATAATGATCAAGATATTTGAGAGATACGGCTCTGTGATGCCCACTTGATCTGAAAAGTTTGCGCTTTGGGAGAGAATTGGGGACCGAGAAAGACAGAGAAGGGGAGCTCGAGCTCGCCATTGCTCAGATCAAAATCTAGAGAATAAAAAAGTTCAATTTTCTGAGTGAGGAGAAAAGACCTCAGTGGAGAAGGCCGGAGGAATCGTAAGGTGGCGATGGGTTCAAATTGCTTGGTGCGTAGGGGTACAGCGAAATTTGGATTTTTTTTTTAAGAGCCTAAAGTAGTCATTAAGTTTTTTTTCCCCCTTCTTTATTATATATATATATTGCTTCTTGACATCATAGAATTGGGAGGTTGCTTAGTTTTTCCCCTTTCTTTGTGATGTTTGACGAGCTTTGCTACAGGAACCCAAAATATAGAACCAACAGAGGGACATGTGATGTGTTTTCCTCCTATTGCATAATGAGTTGGTCATTATTAATGATGATCAGCTCATTAGAACATCTCCTATTGTATTTTACAAAACACGAGTTGCTTGAATCAGGTCCGTTGCAAACACATCTAGGGTCTGTTTGGATTTGTAGGGGCTGAAGGGAAGTTAAGGGAAACTGAGAGAAGGGAAGAGAATGGAAGGGAAGGGAGTTCCCTTTCCCTTGGTTACACCCCAATTTGGGTGTAACAAATTTTATACTATTAGGGGGTGAACCAAGGGGAACTATGGTGAATTAACTTCACCTTCTAAGTATTCCCAAACAAGGTGAATGGAGGTGAATGGTTCCCCTAAGAGCATCTCTAACAGCTTCGTCATTTCTTATTTTTGGAGAATTTAGTTAGGTTTTTGGCCCAACAGATTCCCCATCTCATTCCCCAAAATAGGGATGGAGGAAAAAAAAATGGGGAAGCTTCCCCAAATCTGCAGCATTCTCCAAATTTTTGGAGGAAAAAATGGATTCTTCAAAATGGGGAAGCTGTTGGAGTTGGTGTAAAAATTAGTTGGAGAATATGACTTTTGCTTCCCCATTTTAGAGAAAATTTTGAAGAAGCTGTTGGAGATGTTCTTATATATATATATATATATATATATAAAAGCGTAGGAATTAACAGAGATAACAAGAAGGAAAAAGACACACAGCAGGCTTATGGAAAGGATCTAAGTAAAGAGGAGGTTGGTAAGGAGCGGACCTTGTCGTCACCTACCAGACTCTCTCCTTACTAGGATCCTAACCTCAAAGATTTTAAAACTCACTTCAAAAAAAAAAACCCTCCAAAACGACTTCCTTTTTTTCACCAGAAAATCCGTCAAATTTATTAATTCCTATTAGCACCCTATTAAGAATGATTCCTGTATTAATTGAACTTCAAAAGGGTACTCATATATATATAGTTATCTTATTTTGAAGATTTCTGTGAAAACAGAACTCTTTCATTTAATTGTTTCCCAGATGCTTCATTTGATTTTTTTTTTTTTTTTTTG